AAAAAAAAGAGTGAAAATGATTATAGAGTTTCAGTGCTTTCTATATTGTATTAGCTTTCACGGTGAATAAAAAAATATTACAAGTAAATAATTTTACTAAACCAATCTTTGATTAATTCTTGTAATAGAGATTTATTATGCAACTTTAAATTTTTCGTTGTGTTGATATCCATAAAAAAAACTACCTACCTCTGATCACATTTTTTATTAAAAACAAACAAAAAAAAACATTTTATTATTAATAAAAAAATGTGATTATATGATGATCAGACATTATTATGTTATATAAATAAATGTGAATGAAATATCTAATAAAACACACTAAAAACACAAATAAAACACACACCAACACTCGCCAAACCTAACCAACAATAAACATGAGCAATAAGAATGACATGAAATGATTCATAATTGCAATTGTCAAAATTTATTCTACAAAATCTTTGTGGCGACATCTATAGACTCTTTCCCCAACTTGTATATCCATCTCAAGTCACGTGGTTTCCAGTGTCCCCATATTTTCAAGTATAAGTTCTCGGGCCCGCATGGAGACTAGATAAGTCTCCATGGTGAGTACGGTGAGTATCTGACTTGTAGAATTGTTTATATAGTTGACATCAAACAATGCTTGTAGTTATTACTTCTATCTGTTTTGATCTTAGTTGTCATTATGGTAGGTTAAATCTCTTGACTCATTCTTACACACACGCCATTATTCTATAGTTCCTAGCGGGCAGCCGACCAGAGCACACGTGTTTTGTGAAAGTGTAGTGCAAGGAGCAAATTCTACCTGCCTTTATTAAGGCTACCTGGAAAGAATCCCTTTCTTTCCTTTTAATCACCGACCTAATCCCCGGCTTAAGCATAGACGCCGTCGGCATCTTTGTTACAGCACCTGTGCCGGGGTTATGCCCAGGTAAGTTTTTACTTATTTATCAGTTATTTGCATTACTTTAGAATACATTTCTTTAAAATTGCGACCCCCGACAAACAATATACCAGACAGACAAATACACCAAAAGACACGTACGCCCCCGTGAGGGGGCATCCCCACACGACTAACACTTACACACCTTCCC